TTTTGATATGATAACTATAGCTAGTGTATACACCAGCACATATAACTGAGAGAATCACAGAATGGCTTGGGTTGGAAAGCACTCTAAAGATCATCCAGTTCCAACCCCCTGCCATGGGCAGAGATACCTCCCAGATTGATCGGGGCCTCCTCCAATCTGGTCTGGAACACTTCCAGGGATGGGACATCCACAGCTTCTCTGGGCAACCTATGCCAGTGCCTCATTACCCTTGGAGTGAAGAATTTGTTCCTAACATCTTATTTAAGTCTCCCCTCTTCTAGTTTAAAATGAGAACTAAAACCTTTCTATCACTATCTGCCTGAGTAAAAAGTCGCTCTCCATCTTTTTTATAAGCTCCCTCTAAGTACTACTGAGAAGCCACTATAAAGCCTTCCTTGAGTCTTCTCCAGGCTGAACAGCCCCAGCTCTCTCAGCCTCTTTTTGTAGCAGAGGTGCTTCAGGCCTCTGAGCAACTTTGTGGCCCTCCTCTGGACCCACTCTAACAACCCCACATCCTTCATGTGCTGGGGACCCCAGACCTGGATGCAGCGCTCTAGGTGGAGCCTCACAAGGGCAGAGCAGAGGGGCATGATCACTTCCTTCCATATGCTGGCCACCCCTCTGTCAATGCAGCCCAGGATGCAGTTGGCCTTCTGGGTTGCAAGCACTCACTTCCAGCTCATGTCTAGCTTTTCATCTTCCAGAACCCCCAAGTCCTTCTCTGCAAGGCTGCTCTGAATGAGTCCTCATGTCTCTGTCCTCATGTCTGGCATTGCCCCAGCCCAGGTGCAGCACCTCGAACCTGGAATAGTTGAACTTTAGGTTCACATAGGCCCGCTTTTCTAGCTTGTCCAGCTCCCTTTGGATGGCATCCCTTCTTTTTGGGGTATTAACTGCACCACTCAGCTTGGTGTCACCTGCAGACTTGTTGAGGGTACACTTGATCCCACTGTCCATGTCACTAAAAAACAGCTTTGAACCTGTTTCTTGCCTCATCTGCAACTTGTTTTGTATGTATGGTACTTTGTATGGAGGGCAAGTCGCATGCTTCTCATAAGCAGTAGTAAAAGCTGCATTTTCTTCAGTTTAACTTGGATTTCTAAATGCAAGCATACGGGTCATGTCTACTGTCATTTATTTACCACAGTCTGCAAGTCAGTCTAGGTTTGATTTAAATTCTAAAGATACCTTTCATAAACAGAGATAAGTCTTTTTCCCATAAGAGCCGCCAGAAATATAGATTGGTTGTAGGTTTAGATTTTCACCCTGGCCACAAGAGGAAAATACTTACTAGTCCCAAAAATCTGTGCTATGTTATGTAGTGCTTTAGCTTTTTAATGCAGGAGTTAAGTAGCTGGAAATACCAGTAGTCTTGAGCACACATTTTATCTGTTTGTATTAAATAGTATTGTATTAAATACCTCATGTCTTATGAATTTAAATGCTGTGTCATCTTCATATAGTGAGCATATGTCCATGTTATTGTACATATGGGAGTCTACAGAATAAATAAAAGTAGTATAATAATAGATTTTGCACTGGCAAAGCTATGGCATACTTCACAGAATCACAGAATTTCTAGGTTGGAAGAGACCTCAAGATCATCGAGTCCAACCTCTGACCTAACACTAACAAGTCCTCCACTAAACCATATCCCTAAGCTCCATATCTAAACATTTTTTAAAGACCTCCAGGGATAGTGACTCTACCACTTCCCTGGGCAGCCTGTTCCAATGTCTAACAACCCTTTCGGTGAAGAAGTTCTTCCTAATATCCAACCTAAACCTCCCCTGGTGCAACTTTAGCCTGTTCCCCATCGTCCTGTCACCAGGCACATGGGAGAATAGACCAACCCGCACCTCGCGACAGCCTTCTTTAAGGTACCTGTAGAGAACAATAAGGTTGCCCCTGAGCCTCCTCTTCTCCAGGCTGAACAAACCCAGCTCCCTCAGCTGTTCCTCATAGGACTTGCTCTCCAGACCCCTCACCAGCTTTGTTGCCTTTCTCTGGACTCACTCGAGCACCTCCACGTCCTTATTGTAGTGAGGGGCCCAAAACTGAACACAGTACTCGAGGTGCAGCCTCACCAGAGCTGAGTACAGGGGGACAATCACTTCCCTAGTCCTGCTGGCCACACAGCTTCTTGTACAATCCAGGATGCTGTTGGCCTTCTTGGCCACTTGAGCACACTGCTGGCTCCTATTCAGCTGACTATCAACCAATACTCCCAGGTCCTTCTATGCCTGGCAGCTCTCCAACCACTCATCTCCCAGCCTGTAGCGCTGCTTGGGGTTGTTGGGCCCAAGGTGTAGGACCTGCTACTTGGCCTTGTTGAACTTCATACAGTTGGCCTCAGCCGATGGGTCCAGCCTATCCAGATCCTCCTGCAGAGCCTTCCTACCCTCGAGCAGATCGACACACGCACCTAACTTGGTGTCATCTGCAAACTTACTGAGGGTGCACTCAATCCGCTCATCTAGATTACTGATCAAGATATTAAAGAGAATGGCCCTAGTACTGAGCCCTGGGGGACTCTACTAGTGACCGGCCTCCAACTGGATTTAACTCCATTCACCACGACTCTTTGGGCCTGGCTACCCAGCCAATTTCTAACTCAATGAAGCGTACTCCAGTCCAAGCCAAAAGCAGCCAGTTTCTTGAGGAGAATGTTGTGGGAAATGGTGTCAAAAGCCTTACTTAAGTCAAGGTAGCCTTGACTTCAATACCATCCACAAGACCAATACCATCCACAGCCTTTCCCTCATCCACTAAGCGCGTCACTTTGTCATGGAAGGAGATCAGGTTCGTCAAGCAGGACCTGCCTTTCATAAACCCATGCTGACTGGGCCTGATCACCTGCTTGCCCTGTAAGTGCCACGTGATGACACTCAAGATAATCTGCTCCATGAGCTTCTCTGGAACTGAGGTCAAACTGACAGGCCTATAGTTCTCCAGGTCTGCCCTCCGGCCCTTCTTGTAGATGGGCGTCATGTTTGCTAGCCGTCAGTCAGCTGGGACCTCCCCCGATAGCCAGGACTGTTGATAAATGATGGTAAGTGGCTTGGCCAGCTCCTCTGCCAGTTCTCTCAGTACCCTTGGGTGGATCCCATCCGGCCCCATCGACTTGCGTACATCCAAGTGCCGTAGCATGTCGCCAACCATTTCCTCATGGATAGTGAGGGCCACATTCTGCTCCCTATCCCCTTCCACCAGCTCAGGGTACTGGGTATCCAGAGAACAACCGGTATTGCCACTAAAGACTGAGGCAAAGAAGGCATTAAGCACCTCCGCCTTTTCCTCATCTTTTGTAACAAGGTTTCCCCCCGCATCCAGTAAAGGATGGAGATTCTCCTTAGTCCTCCATTTTGTGTTGATGTATTTGTAAAAAGATTTTTTATTGTCTTTAACGGCAAAAGCTAGTAACAGTCTGCAAATTAGCTTTTTATATATATATTTTTTTTTATGCATATAAATGGAAAGTATGTTCTAGATGGATATCAAAACTTCTGAGGAAGCTTCTGCAACTGCAGAATGATTATGTTGAATGATTAAGGATTTTTAGTGGTCTGTGATACTAAATGTTCAGATATTGGACCAGAATTAATGAGATGTAAGTTCTCCTGTCTGTTTTACCACAGACTGCTTATGGAGGTAACTTCTGTTTTTGTGGCTTATATTTGCCTGTAATGCACAAGTATATCACCCTCACCTCCAACAATTTGGTGATCTTAAGCTCTGTGAGGATGGCATGCCTCCTTTTTCTGAATGAGTGCTCCAATAAGAGCACGAAGGCTGAAAATAGGAGTAATGACTATTGGTGTAAAGTAAAACCAGTGCTAACCTGTACCTGTGTTCAGCCACATGGAACTGCTTAAAACCAAGCACGTATCTTTTCTTTTCAGGGGGAAGTAGAGTTGTCCTATTGAAGCACATATGCATATATGCTGTAAACTTTGAAACTCTACAGCCATTGGTTTGTTAATAATTGTGTTGCTCCAGTTGCAGGAAAAGGAAGCCTGATTAATCTTGCTGGTCCTGTTGAAAGTTTACGGTTTTACTGTTCGTAGATGTGTATACTGTTTGTTGCCCAGAGGTCGGAGGTGCAAAAAGTGGCTTGTGCTGCAATACAAAACTGAGAACCGGTGGTGTGCAGTTAGACCTGTCATCAGCCTAGAACATACTGGGAGAGAAAAAAAGGTTCTTATGGTAGCTAGAAGGGAATTCCAGTTTTCTAATCTTACAGTATTTGGGGGGAGATATTTTAGAATTCCCAGGCATGTACTTTTTGCTGACTTCCCTTTTTTTTATGGACAGAGTTATGCTTGCATTTGGCTTTTTCGATGTACCTTTTTCAGAACCACCTGTTATTGAGCTTTCCTTTTTTTAACCAAGGAGCACACCTGATAGTTACCAAGTATGTGATACGTGTTGATGGAATGGAATCTCTTGTTGGGAGATATGTTGGTAATAAGATGGCCTAGGTGAGACACATTTCCTGTTTTTCTTGTAGCATTTCTTGAGGTGCTTCTCTTGCTTTCAGACCACTGCCATAGGTGGCAGTAAATTCTTTAAATCGTTAGATTATTGCAGTTTCATGTACCTGGGCCATGGAATTTACAATGTACGTACGCTGTAATAGGACATTTTTAGAACTGTGCAACCAGTGCATATTTGTATGTGTCTTGCTGTTGCTAGAACTTTTACTGCTACTGAAAATACTTCCTGGGGTGTGTTTCTTAGTGTTTATTTAATGATTACAAAATGGTTCCACATGCTTTGTGTGGCTAAATCTCAGCACTAGGAAAGACTCAAGTGTATGAGTGGGTGTGGCTGCATTGTGCATATTAAAATAATTTATAGGGATACCAAATAGCATGTTGAAAACATGGTGCTAATGGTAATTTAGGAGTTAAACACCTAAACAGAAGGTTAAAAGGGTCTCTAAAAGCTGTTTTTCTTTTGTTGGTCTTTTTAAATGACTTTTTTCCTTCTGTTTCCAGGTTTTCTCAAATAATGATGAAGGCCTTATTAACAAAAAATTACCCAAAGAACTTCTGTTAAGGTAATTCGCGATAACGTGTTAAGGAATAAAAATCTGAGGATAATGCATTGCTTATGTGGCTTATAGACTACAAATTAATTCTTAAACTATTAAGATTACTATTAATTCTTAAATATCTTGAAATAAATAGTAACATGACTGTTTTAAATCTTTGAATTCTTTAACCTGTTTTGTTTTGATTGGTCTTGATTTGTTTTAGTGTTCAAATTACACTATACTGTAGATAATATAGTTTAGTAGTGATCTTTTTTGTGCATATTAGAAAAAGTGAAATAAAATGTCCAAATAGCTGTAGTATATGTAGTTAACTCTTTTCCACATTGCACAATGTTTTATCTGTCTGTAGAGTGTAAGATCCATCTCTTATGTAATTCCCTACAATGAATACTCAAATTCTTTTTCTTATGAAATTTGTTATAACAAATATAAAAACAACTTCAGAGCTTTCCAAAAATCACTGTGGCAAAAAGCACAGACCGTCACCTTTTACTGTTGGTCCGTGTTATATACGGTAGAACCATCAGGAAGTTTTTACGTACTGGAATCATTCGGCATTTCATCAAACCTGTGTGAGTAGAACACCTTCACAGGAGTTAGTTACAACATCAGGATAAGTAAGTTTAGCCCATGGTTGAGACACTGGTGGAAGTCTTCACATGCTTGTGTTGAAAGTTGATTTCAAGCAAAATGTCAATTCCAGAATGTGGAGGTACTGCTCAACTGGATGTAACCGCTTCATGGGGGAAACTGAATCGGCCCAGTGACTTCTTCTCCAGCTGCCTATAGTTTTCATTGCAGCCCACTCTTTGTGTAAAAAGAAATGTCCATGTATAATTGTGCAAGTATAATTTTTAGTGATGGTGTTAATAAAATTGAGCTAATGATTTGTTCTTGATACTCTAAAGAGTTGCTTTGGTTATCTTATATGTCACTGCTTCCTGTCTGAAACAATGGTAGTTTGCTATCTTGTGTATTAAGAAAGTGTTCTTAAAATGTTATTACTTTTTAGTGTCTGTACTATAACAATGTTCTCTTGGTGGTACTAAAGAAACAGTCTTTTGTTAAAAGGAATAGCATTTTTAAAAGATTTTCATTTTTGTTCAGATATACTCATTCCATGTTGTGGTGATGATGTAAATTAGGCTTGTAGAACTATTTAGAAAATGTGATTAAATGAAAAAGCATCACTGAATGATGCCCTGAATACAAATTCTAATAACTTGGCTTTGTTTCATTGTATATAAAGGTCAACATGAGACATTTTCCAGATTCTAAGGGAATATGGAATATTCTGCAGGGAATGTTCTACCCACTGACCACTAACCTATTGATTCTGTCCTGAATTTGAGTTAAATCACTGGAAAGTTTTAAAGCCCATTCCCACTTAACAGTAATTGGAAAATTTTCTAGCAAAAGCTGATTAATCAGAAAATTTCAACTTGTTTTATCCTCAGTGTTTATTTGAGGTTAGGTATGCTACCTTGAAGACTGAAGGTACAATGACTATTTATGTACAATTGGGCAAATGATGTTAAATAAAAATGGTACTTCTAGTGTGATACTACTTATCAATTGTTGCTAAAGCACATAAGAATTTAATAATAATAAATCTGTTAAATCTTGTTCCTAATAATTTTGTTTCTGTTTCCCATTGGCTGAAAATGAAAATATCTAATCACTTTCCAGAAGCTTTATCTGCTCCATGACACGTGCCTGTGATTTGTTCTAATTGCCTGTTTGGTTGGTTTTCTAATCACTTCTTTGGAGTTAAGGACCACTGGAAATGGGTATATGACTGCAGACGAGAGTCTGGTTTTGATATTATGCTGTTATAAGTCTCTTTTTTTTTGTTTTGTTTCCTATCATTGTTAGTCTCCATGCTTCTGGTTAATGAATGTATTGCCCGTATCTTTATATAGAGGAGCTTTCTCTATTGGGAAATTAACATGAGCTTGGAGTATTGCAGCTGCTCTGCACTAATTCCTTGCTTAGACATATTTCAGACATGTCAAATCACAGAACTTACTTTGCTTAATGAAAGCTACCCGCAGAAGACATGATTAGACTTCCCTTTACTGAAACCATAGATTTGTGTTTACATTCTGAAATTAAAGGAAATGTGTTTTACTTTCATAATCAACTCCTATACAATCGAATAGATTAATAATCTGTATTAATACAGTTGATGTATCAATTTGGTTGTTTGTGATTCTAAATAGCTACATTGTAATTGGTTGAAGTCCTCTATTGTAGTAGCCAGAAAGGCAAAATGTGGTATAAAATCAAAGTAAGTGATTGCATGTGCATTATAAAATTGAAATGTTTTCCTGAGATTATTAAATATAAAACAGCAGTCTTTGCTACTCAAGGTGAAATGCTGCAGTATTTAATTATACAAATGAAGTGGGGAAAATGAGGCATGTTTCAAACGACATTTTTTTTTTGTCTTCAATATACACGTACTGTTTGTCTGCTTATGAAATTGTTACCAACTAAGATCTGTTCCAGATGCAAGTTCATATTTTTCAGTTCTTTGACTTATGACTTGGTTATTCTGTATGCGTTTTCTGAATTCTTTGTATGAGGTGATTGCTGAACATGTGAAAACAATTGTTGTTGTTTAGTAAACTTGGCCTTTTGTAACCGGAGGAGGTATCTGCCATCCTCTACTTGTTTAAATGTTTTTTTTTTGTTTTTTTTTTTCATAAACAAACACAAGTATAAGCTTAGAAGTTTGGGGCAGAGATGTTTCAAATGGAATTCCTTTTAAAACTGTGAGTGAGAGTCTGTAAGAACACAAGCAGAAAATTCTATGGGTGCATTTGTACACTGTTAATGCAGAAGGAGCGATTTGGGAATGGAAGTTGTGTGGTTTTTTTTTTTTGTTTGTTTGTTTTTTGCCAAGGTGCTGAGTAAAATTTGGGAATTATGAAAAGGAAATTATTTGTTTAATGTTTCTTCTTGAAGAATTAGGACTTTCTTACAAATGGACTGCTTCAGCATTACCTACTTCAAGGATGGATGTGTCCTGGTTTCAGTTAGAACAGAGTTATCTCTTAGTAAAAACACACTTGTGACAAAAGATTTGTCGTTCTGGAATAAACAAAAGTAAATAAGCGTTTAAAGCAGCAGGAATAACAGCTAAAGTTGATGTAACAGCAACTTACATAAGTCTCAGATCCATGCATTACCATTTGTTTCCTTTTGTTTTTTTATATGCTTTCAAGCTTCTCTTTAGAATCTGTTATTTAATTAATCAAGGCCTAATTCCATTTGGAGCTTTATTTACTTTGAAACTGGAGCCTTATTTAAACTCAGTCTCTTGATTAACAAGTTACCAAAGCCAAATGTTCAGAAGTATCAGTGATATAAAGAAGTCATTCCTTTCATATGGAATTCTCACACACATGCACTCCAAAATGGTTGTTTTTTCCTTTCTCATTCCCATGCTAGAAGTGCCAGCAAAACACAAAGGCAATTCAAAGGATACTCCAACTCTCTACCAAAAACAAAACAAAAATAAAAAAAGCACAGAACATTGTTTTTATTTTGTTCAGTAGTGATGTTAAAGAGTTTAAATAACAATGTCAAGCACCTATACTGTGCTCTTTTTTTTGTTTGTTTTTGTCAGTAATTTATGAAGCATTTACAGTAGAGGTGAGCTTTCATATCTCTGTCTTCCTGATGCAGGCATAGGCATCAGGATGAGAAATCTGTTTTTCAAAGTTATTTTCCAGGCCAGTAGAAGAGCAGATTGGATCAAGTGTACCAAATACTAGTCCAAAGACTAACTGAAGTTTCCATAACATTTATGTCTGTAAGAATCGTGGTTTATGGAATATTCCTAGGCTGCATACCACCAGAGCATCATGTTTGTGTTGTTTGTTTTTTTTCCTTCACATTTTTATCAAGCCAGCAGCATGTAGAATGGGCATGTTTGGTTTTGGCTCTTTGGTGCCCTGTTTGTATAATACCTTCTCTCATGGGAAGAATTGGAATGACCAGCAGGTTGGGTTGGCACTATGGTCTGCCAGCTAAACCTCTCTGGAATAATCATTAGGCTAACTGGTTTTAGGAAGATGCTTTCTAGTTGCCAAATTTGTACTTCATAAAATCATTTAATGGAAATGAATTTTGTATTCATAAAATTGACTAGCTAAGGTTGGAAGTGAACTCTGGAGATCATCTAGTCTAACCTGCAGCTGAAAGCAGTGTCAGCTAGAAGAGACATTTTTTGGCATTGTCCTGTTGAGTTTTGACTATCTCCAAGGATAGGGACTCCAAAAACCCTCAAGTCAACCTGGTTCAGTATTTGACAACGCTAACAGTAAAAATAAAGGTGTTTTTTTCTTCTATTTAAGTGGAATTTATTGTATTTCAGTTTACATCCGTTGCCTCTTTTCCTGTCTAGTCCTGGGCACTACTGAGAAGAGTCTGTTATCTTCACTCCCATCAGATATTCATACACATTGGAAAGTTGCTTCCAAAGCCTTCTGCTTTGAGACATATCCATCTCATGGTGTTCAGCAGGAACTCAGCTCCTTTTCTGCAGAGCTGCTTCCCATTTGATCAGCCCCAGCTTGTAATGGGTGCATGAGGTGTTCCTCCCTGGTTTGTATCCCCTTTCAGGGATTCCCATCTGCCCCAAAGTAATTACGTTTTCATTTATCATATGCTTTTCTGTAAAAAATAAAATAAAAAATATTTCATTGTTTTTGATCCTTATGGAATTCTTTCTCCTGGTTTGATGCCTTAAAAAGAAAACGTTGTAGCTGGAGTAAATAGCTGAGACTTTGACAAAAATCTAGCTAATGAAACTAGGGAGTCATCAGTTGCAGCATGCTCAATTTTAGAAACTGCAGAACCTTGTGGGTCATCCAGCCCTTACAGAAAATTATTAAACTGGACAATTGATGAGGCTTTTAAGGTTAGAAATATGGATCATCCTCCTCTGCAACTATTCCAATTTTAGGAAGGCGTGATTGATTTGGGAGCACAGG